TAAGTCTCAACTCTAGAATTTTTCTAAGGGCCACTCCTTCTCTCAAAAATTCTCATAATATCACTGACCCTTCCCTCCTAGCCTTTGTAAGTTTTATTTGCGAGATATTTGGGTGTAGGCCAGTCTTCTCCACCAAAAATGTAAGAATCACAAGGAAGCAGCTCCCTTTTCTTCTTTTTGACCTGTTTCTTGCCCCTCACTGTATTCCAGAACTTAATACAATATTGGGCATAGTAGTAAATTCTTATGCACCGAGGAAAGAAAAGAACGAATTAATGACACATTTAACCCACTTATTCAGAGTTCTGGCATGGAATGGAAAAGAGTTCAACTTTTAAGAAAAAGATCATATGGTAGACAGATCCACACAGGAAAAAGAGCCACAGCGAATTGGTAACTTTATCTTCCCTAGTGCCTAAACTACAACATCCTCTACTTCTATTGCAAGTTTGGTGTATCTTTCCTACTCGATTAGTCTGTGCTCACTTCTCATGCTTCCCTTATCTCTCTTTTCCATGTAGTATTTATTATTTTATTTGGTTGTATTTATCAGATTAGGGATAACAATTCATTGCAATTAGAATTATTTGCTCCATCTAGAATCTTACATCTTAACATATGAACCCATTTTCTTTTTTTATCCGTGGTAAAAAAATTACTTAGAACTTTTCCGAGAATGATGTAAATTTATTACGTTTCATTTGCTTTTCATTTTGAGAGAGGACTAAACTGTCAACATAACACTCTATCAACTTTGATACCTACCAAGGCACTGTCCATTCCAGCCTCTGAATCCTTCTGTGCAGGGGACACACTGGTAAGACCCCGGGGAATTCACACACTGCTCATCTGGACAAGTACTCGGAGTCAAGCACTCATCAATATCTGAAAGGCCAAAGAGGTAGGTCATCAACTAAAATTTTATCACAATACCAAACAGTGAAACCTTCCTTTTATGAGGAAGTAGAGGAAAGGAATGTTAGATCTGCATTTCAGTGGAGAAAACAACTCGGTGAGATACTGGGTCTAGACTTAAACATATGCATTAATGCATGGTGAAGAATACCTGGATTAAAATATTTACAACATATTCCAAGGAAGAACTTGGCCCCAATTCTTCAACTGGCAGGGTCAGACCTCTCCACTCTGGGAGTTGGTAGTCTTCTGAGGTCACTTTTTGAACATCAAATCTTTCAAGTAATACCACTTACTTGCCAGAAAGAAATACAAGGAATGGGGGTGAGAGTGAGGAAGCCATATATCTACCTGGCCAGAATTTTCTCTGCAGACATTGGATGCTCTAGGGAATCTTCACTTTGGTTTTATAAACCAAGAATATCCTGGGTTTGAGTAATTTAAAACCTTTCAAATGATAGAAACTCCTTGGAGGTGGAAAAGAATGTTAGGAGAGAGTGAACTCATGTATACTTTAAAGATTTTCCAGAAAAACATAGGTCTTTCGAGGTCCTATATAATGTACATTTTATATTGGGACACTTAGATATTAAATCTAAATTTGTGTGACTATTTTCTGGTAAAAATAGACCTTTTCTCTCATTTTCTGCTAACTGAAATTATTAATCATTCTTTTTAATACCGGGGAAAAAAAAATCACCTAAGTTTGGTTGGAGCTGTGGCAGAGATAACTATAACACTAGCATTAGTTATTTTTAAAGAACGGTTAAAAACAAGAAAATGAAGGAAACTAAGATAACCGGAAGGAGTTCAACAGATGAAAATGAGTGGCATTTGAAAGAAGTGCTTTCTCTGGAGTGGATTTTGAATTTGTATCTAAGTGCTCTAATACAAAATGAATGGTATATAGACCTTTAAATATACTTAGCATATGAACAGATTTTCAGGGCATATCCTGAAAAGTGAAAGTGAAAAAAATATATAACTGGGGCTGGGGTTGGTAGCTCAGTGGTAGAGCGCTTGCCCAGCACGTGTGAGACCCTGGGTTCGATCCCCAGCATCGCATATAATTGAATAAACAAAATAAAGGTATTGTGTCCATCTACAACTAAAAATAGTTTTTTTAAAAATACATAACTGGTTCACTAAATAGACACCCATAGGTATTTCATGTCTTCATTCTGGT